CACCCACCCCAGTGCTACACCCACCCCCAGAGCTACACCCACCCCCAGTGCTACACCCAACCCCAGAGCTAAACCCACCCCCAGTGCTACACCCAACCCCAGTGCTACACCCAACCTCAGAGCCACACCCACCGCCAGAGCTACACCCACCCCCAGTGCTACACCCACCCCCAGTGCTACACCCATCCCCAGTGCTACACCCACCCCCAGAGCTACACCCACCCCCAGTGCTACACCCAACCCCAGAGCTAGACCCACCCCCAGTGCTACACCCAACCCCAGAGCTAAACCCACCCCCAGAGCTACACCCAACCTCAGAGCTACACCCATCCCCAGTGCTACACCCACCCCCAGTGCTACACCCACCCCCAGAGCTACACCCACCCCCAGTGCTACACCCACCCCCAGAGCTACACCCACCCCCAGAGCTACACCCACCCCCAGTGCTACACCCAATCCCAGAGCTACACCCACCCCCAGTGCTACACCCACCCCCAGTGCTACACCCACCCCCAGAGCTACACCCACCCCCAGTGCTACACCCACCCCCAGAGCTACACCCACCCCCAGAGCTACACCCACCCCCAGAGCTAAACCCACCCCCAGTGCTACACCCAACCCCAGAGCTACACCCACCCCCAGAGCTACACCCAACCCCAGAGCTAAACCCACCCCCAGTGCTACACCCAACCCCAGAGCTACACCCACCCCCAGAGCTACACCCAACCCCAGAGCTACACCCACCCCCAGTGCTACACCCACCCCCAGAGCTACACCCACCTCCAGTGCTACACCCACCCCCAGAGCTATACCCACCCCCAGAGCTACACCCACCCCCAGTGCTACACCCACCCCCAGAGCTACACCCACCCCCAGTGCTACACCCACCCCCAGAGCTACACCCACCCCCAGTGCTACACCCACCCCCAGAGCTACACCCACCTCCAGTGCTACACCCACCCCCAGAGCTACACCCACCCCCAGTGCTACACCCAACCCCCAGTGCTACACCCAACCCCCAGTGCTACACCCACCTCCAGTGCTACACCCACGCCCAGTGCTACACCCAACCCCAGAGCTACACCCACCCCCAGTGCTACACCCACCCCCAGTGCTACACCCAATCCCAGTGCTACACCCAGCCCCAGTGCTACACCCAACCCCAGTGCTACACCCAGCCCCAGTGCTACACCCATCCCCAGAGCTACACCCACCTCCAGTGCTACACCCACCCCCAGTGCTACACCCAACCCCAGTGCTACACCCAACCCCAGTGCTACACCCACCCCCAGAGCTATACCCACCTCCAGTGCTACACCCACCCCCAGTGCTACACCCAACCCCCAGTGCTACACCCACCCCCAGTGTAACACCCAGCCCCAGTGCTACACCCACCCCCAGTGCTACACCCAGCCCCAGTGCTACACCCATCCCCAGAGCTACACCCACCTCCAGTGCTACACCCACCCCCAGAGCTACACCCACCCCCAGAGCTACACCCAACCCCAGAGCTAAACCCACCCCCAGTGCTACACCCACCCCCAGTGCTACACACCCCCAGTGCTACACCCAACCTCAGAGCTACACCCACCCCCAGAGCTACACACATCCCCAGTGCTACACCCACCCCCAGTGCTACACCCACCCCCAGTGCTACACCCATCCCCAGAGCTACACCCACCTCCAGTGCTACACCCATCCCCAGAGCTACACCCACCTCCAGTGCTACACCCACCCCCAGAGCTACACCCACCCCCAGAGCTACACCCAACCCCAGAGCTAAACCCACCCCCAGTGCTACACCCACCCCCAGTGCTACACACCCCCAGTGCTACACCCAACCTCAGAGCTACACCCACCCCCAGAGCTACACACATCCCCAGTGCTACACCCACCCCCAGTGCTACACCCACCCCCAGTGCTACACCCATCCCCAGAGCTACACCCACCTCCAGTGCTACACCCATCCCCAGAGCTACACCCACCTCCAGTGCTACACCCACCCCCAGTGCTACATCCAACCCCAGTGCTACACCCACCCCCAGTGCTACACCCACCCCCAGTGCTACACCCAACCCCCAGTGCTACACCCACCCCCAGTGTAACACCCACCCCCAGTGCTACACCCACCCCCAGTGCTACACCCAACCCCAGTGCTACACCCAACCCCAGTGCTACACCCAACCCCAGCAGTACTGGCCTTTCCATCTCCTCTGAGGCATTAACCTGGGTTGCCTGAGGATAGGGTAGGGACCTCCCCTAAGGTGGTTGCCTGGTGACTCAGTGCTGATTCTCCTCAGGAGCCTCCCAACCCCTCCCTTCGCTTCAAGACCTATAACAAGATTCACAGCCCAGCAGGCCCCTGAAAGTGAGGCCCACAGCGTGACCCAGGAGGAGGCGAGCCACACCCCAGAAGAGTCACTTGACCTCTCTGATGTATACAGACAGACCCTCGGGGTATGAGTGGGAATGCACACGGGGTGTGAGCACTGGGAGAGGAACAGGCAGGTGGAGGGGCCGGGTGTGCAGATGCAGCTCGGGGACTCAGAAAAGCTCTAACTGGTGGGTTGGTTGAAGAATGGATGGAAGGATGCCTGCCGTTAGTGAATGGGTGATGCCCAACTCTGGCTTAACACAGATGAAGGGGTTCAAAGGCTTAGGGAGACTGGAGTGTGACAATGAAACCTTCTCACCCACCCTGGGAGGGTCCAGAAGGCAAACCTTTCACAACAGGGATCCCCACCCCCAGGCCGTGGATTTGTACCGGTCCACACAGCAGAAGGTGAGTGGCAGGTAAGTGAGCAAAGCTTCAACTGTGTCTACAGCCACTCCACATCACTCACGTTACCACCTGAGCTCGCCTCCTGTCGGGTGGGCGGCAGCATTAGGCTCTCAGAGGGCAGGTAAGTGAGCAAAGCTTCACCTGTGTCTACAGCCACTCCACATCACTCACGTTACCACCTGAGCTCGCCTCCTGTCTGGTGGGCGGCAGCATTAGGGTCTCAGAGGGCAGGTAAGTGAGCAAAGCTTCACCTGTGTCTACAGCCACTCCACATCACTCACGTTACCACCTGAGCTCGCCTCCTGCCGGGTGGGCGGCAGCATTAGGCTCTCAGAGGGCAGGTAAGTGAGCAAAGCTTCACCTGTGTCTACAGCCACTCCACATCACTCACGTTACCACCTGAGCTCGCCTCCTGTCGGGTGGGCGGCAGCATTAGGCTCTCAGAGGGCAGGTAAGTGAGCAAAGCTTCACCTGTGTCTACAGCCACTCCACATCACTCACGTTACCACCTGAGCTCGCCTCCTGTCTGGTGGGCGGCAGCATTAGGCTCTCAGAGGGCAGGTAAGTGAGCAAAGCTTCACCTGTGTCTACAGCCACTCCACATCACTCACGTTACCACCTGAGCTCGCCTCCTGTCGGGTGGGCGGCAGCATTAGGGTCTCAGAGGAGCGAAGCCCCATTGTGAACTGCCCTGCCGGGGATCTAGACTGCGTGCTCCTTGTGAGAATCTAATGCCTGATGATCTGTCATACCTCCCGTCACCCCCAGATGGAACCAACCAGACCCCCTGTCTAGCAGCAGGAAAACAAGCTCAGGGTCCCCTCATTCGACATCAGGGCGGGTTGTGCGATGGTTTCCTTATACATTACAATGTGATATCGATACAGATAAAGGGCACAATAAATGTAATGTGCTTGAATCATCCCAAAACCACCCTCCAACTCCGGGTCCATGGAAAAATATTCCTCCATGACAGTCCCTGGTGCCAGAAAGGATGGGGACTGCTGTTTCACAGCACTGAGAGAGGTTTGTGACGAGCCCCGTCTCCTCAGAGAGCTCTGCCGTTGTTCTCTGTAGGCCAGACTCACAGTGAGAACTGCTGTCAATCAACTGCAGAATTTACACGCGATGGGAATAACTGGATCCTGGGGTGGCAGGGGCCAAGTGGGGGCTCTGGAGCACCAAAGGCAAAGTGGGTGTGGTTACCATGATGGACGGCAGAGGCAAAGCAGCAATCAGACCTGGGTCTCAGGTCCGACCCACGCGGACCTACGGCACTGGCTGTTTATCGTGTTGCTCCTAGCAGTGCAACAGACGGGAAGTCTGCTCAGTTCCTACGGGGTACAAGCAGGAAACTTCCAGACCAAGTGGAGAGAAGTCTAACTCCAGTCATACACACAGAGAGTCACGGCCCCAGTCATTCAGACTTGAGACTGTGAACCCAGACTCCTTACATGAAAGCAAGGCTGGGCACCCTCGAGGAAGGACCCCAGGTCTGCCTGAAATGTACACAGACTGTTAACTCTTCCCCCCGTCTTCTCCAAAGGGGCCTATGGCTTTCTGTCCCGGTAACCATGTATTGCAGAAAGGAAAATAATGAGACATTTTGGGATGACTGGACACTGCCTCTGGCCTGACATTGATTCTAGGAGACACTGGAGGGACACTGTGGCCTTCCAGCTAGGGAGGGGCCTAGGGAGCCAGGTGATGAATCGAGTTTCAGCTCAGCTCTGACTCCGTGGGTCCAGCGGTCACTTCCCCAGTTCCAGATGCGTAACAGACACACTCAGCAGCAGCCGGCAGAGTCCCCACATTCGTCCCCTGCCATGGGGGGTGGGGACTACTATGGTGGGAAAGGCAGAGTGGAAGCCATTAGAAAGGCCTCTACATAGAAGAGTCAGTCAAAAGCCATCCCACATCCCTGGAGGGACTGCAGACGTCAGTGCCACCACCAAGGACTCGAGAGATGCAGGGGCGGTGACCTCCCACAGCCTACTCCACTCACCTAAATGGCCCTCGGGGGAGTAAGGTGGGTCCTGCAGATCGACAGGACTGTCCTAAGCTTGACTCCACCTGCAGCTGCTGGGCCAGACATGGCTCCGTCACTTGAGCCATCTCCGGCTACCCAGGACACAGCTACTGACCCGGCAAATGGTTTCTTCTCCACCCCTGTCCACAAGCAACGCACACTCACCGTCCCACGTCAGGGGTCCCTCACCTCTCCAGCCTGTGTCCAAAGGTAGTTCTCAGGGGTCTTGATTGCCTCTCCCTTCCCCAGGATGTCACACTGGCCCATTACACTGATGACATTATGCTGTTGGGACATAAGGCACAAGAAGCCACCATTCTAGACTTGTTGGTGTCAGAGGGGGACAATAAACCCACCAAAATTCAGAGCCCTGTACCTCAGCGAAATTTCCAGGGGCGTGGGTTCTGTTCCAAGGTGAAGGGTAAGTTGCTGTGTCTGAATCCTCCTGTGACCAGAAGGGAAAAACAACACTAGGGGGGCCTGTTTGATGCAGGGTCGACACGTTCTTGCTCTTTAGGTGTCCAACTCTGTCCATTTCCTGAGTGACCTGAAAAGCTGCTGGTTTAAACACGGCCCAGAGCAAGAGAAGGCTCTTGCAGTAGGTCCAGGCTCCATCCATGCCTCTCTGCCTGGCAGGCTCCATGACCCAGCACGTCCAGTGGTGCCTCGGGTGTCTGTGGCAGACAGAGACCGTGTGTAGGTGACTCCCAGCTCAGGCCTTTAGGGTTTTGAAGCAAGGTCCTGTCATCCTTTGCAGATAAGCTACTCACCTCCTGAGAAACAGCCCTTGGCCTGCTTCTGGGCCTTCGTAGGAGCAAAACACTTGGCAGCCAGGCACGGTGGCTCATGCTTCTAATTCCAGCACTTTGCGAGGCCGAGGTGGGTGGATCACCTGAGGTTGGGAGTTTGAGACCAGCCTGGCCAATATGGTGAAACCGTCTCTACTAAAAATACAAAGTTAGCCAGGTGTGCTGGCCCATGCCTGTCCTCCCAGCTACTCGAGGCAGGAGACTCACTGGAACCCGGGAGACCTGAACTGCTCGTCACAGTCAGGATTATCTGACCCACATAGCCGTGACGTCATGTGTGCCCAGCAGAGCCGTATCATCCAGTGGAGGTGGGGGGAGGAGATCAGGTCCTGAAGGCATGAGTAAGTTACACGAACAAGAGGCCCGAAGCCCGTGGCCCCGCTCCTGCTCCCCGCCTTCTCCCTCCCCGGCTGCTCCTGGAGCTGCATGAGGAGTTCCCTCTCACTAGTTGACAGAGGAAAAGGAGAGTCAGGCCACGCTTACAAGCGGTTCTGCTCAGCAGGCAGGCCCGGCCGTAAGGCAGACAGCTGCAGCCCTGTAGCCCCTGGGGGACACCCCTCAAGGACAGTGGCGAAGAGGAATCTTCCCCATGAGTAGAACTTCCCATGCACCTGTTGGCGCTCCGCCTAGAAGGAGCAGATGTGTGATGATATCCGATTCGTGGCTGTTGAAGGGCTTTAGGGGGATGTTCAGGTGCTTGAAAGGAACATGATTGGAAAACTGGTGACAAAGACATTTGTGGAAGAGATGTAGAGAGAGCCCTCTCTGAACAGGCAAAGGACATCAAGATATCTGTGTCCCATGTGAAGGCTGAGCAAAGGGTGACCTCAGCAGAGCAGGACTTCAGTAATCAGGTGGACAGGATGACCCGCTCTGTGAACACCAGATAGCCTTTTCCCAGTTGGCCCTCTCATCACCCAGTGCACTCATGAGCCAAGTGGCTGTGGTGGCAGGGATGGAGGCTGCACATGGGCTCAGCAACATGGACTTTCACTCACCAAGGCCGAGCTGGGTGGCACCACCACCGGGTGCCCCATCTGCCAGCAGCAGAGGCCAGCACTCAGCCTGACAAGGTCCATTCCCCAGAGTGACCAGCCCGTGCCTGGGGCCAGTGGATGACACCAGATGGCTCCCGTGGTTTGTTCTTACTGGGATGGGCACCTGCCATGGATACGGACTTGCCCTCCCTGCACATGGTCACCACTACCCTCTGTGGGCTCAGAATGCTCATCCACGGCCACGCTGTCCACGCAGTGTTGCTTTGACCAAGGAACTCACTTTGCAGCCAAAGAAGTGTGGCAAAGACTCATGCTCCGGGCATTCATGGGTCTTACTGTGTTCTCCATCGTCCTGAAGCAGCTGGCATGACGGAATGGTGGAATGGGCTTTTGCAGACGCAGCTCCAGTACCAGCTGGGTGGCGACACCTTGCGGGGCTGGGGCAAGGCGCTCCAGGAGGATGTGTGGGCTCTGATCAGTGTCCAGTATGTGCAGCTGTTTCTCCCACAGTCAGGATTCCCCGGCCTGGGAACCAGGGGGCAGAAGTGGGAGTGGCACCACCCTCCCTCACCCCCAGTGACCCACTAGCAGACTTTTCCTTTCCTGTTCCCATGACTTTATGCTCTGCCAGCCTAGGGACCTTGGTTCCCAGCCGAGGAATGCTGCCACCAGGGGACATAGCAATGACTCCATTGAACTGGAAGTTAAGGTGCCACCCAGGCACCCGGGCACCGGGGGCTCCTCAAGCCTCAGAGTCAACAGCCCAAGAGGGGAGTTTGGATGCTGGCTGGGGATTGATCTGGAGGACCCAGGGGGCATTGGACTGCACTCCACAACCGAGGTTGGAAGAGCCAGCGTGGAATGCAGGAGGCCCCTTAGGGCTTCCCTGAGTAGAACCACACCTTGTGGTTAAGATCCCTGGGAAACTACAGAAGGCCCAGACCCTTAAGCAATGAAGCCTTGGGTCACCTTGGCCAGGTACAGAACCACCACCAGCTGAGGCGCTTGCTAGGGCAAAGGGACCACAGAACGGGAGAAGACCTTGGTTATAAACACCAGGCGCTCCTGTAGCTTGGCCGGTTACAGAAATGAGGACTGTAACTGTCACGTGTGTTTCCTCTCTACTTTGTTAAGAAAGCATTCGTGCATATGGGTACGTATATTAAGCGAGTTTCTGTTGTCTTTCCTCTCTCACTCTTTTATCACGTAACATAAGATGTAGTGACTTTGTCTCAGTGTCAAGGTATCGCTAACTTCACACCACAGTCTTGAAGCCGCAGGTAGTCGGGAGAGTCAGCATCACTCCAGGACTCCCCTCCTCTTCCAGGGAAGGGGTCAGTGCGTCTGGTTGCATGGGGTAGTTGTAACCCGTTAGCTGGAACCATGGCCTTGCTGTGGTCTGTCGGAGAGTACGTACAGTTTAAGGAGATGCGTATGGCCTCCAAGTCGACAGGGAGTGAACGCGTGATGGTTCAGTTCAGCGGTCAGCTTGAACTGGGTGAAGGGACAGCCAGAGAGCACTGAAGCATCATCTCTGCGTGTGCCTGTGAGGGTGTTTCCAGGAGGCACTGGCGTTTGAATCTGAGGGATAAGCAAGGAAGATCTGTCCTCCCCAATGTGGGACGGCACCATCCAAACCACGGAGGGCCCAGGCAGAACGGAAGATGAACTGGGCTCTCTTGCTCGCTCTCTCTCTCTCTCTCTCTCTCTCTCTCTCTCTCGCCCACCAGAGCTGGGACACCCACCTCCTACTACCCTTAGACACTGGAACTCCTGCTTCTCTGGCCTTTGGACCCTGGGACTTACACCAGTGGCCCTCTGACCGAGAGTTACGCAGCCAGCCTCCCTGCTTACCAGGTCTTCAGGCTTGAACGGAGCCACACTACCAGTCTCCCTGGGTCTCCAGCTTGCGCAGGGCAAATCATGGGACTTCTGAGTGTCCATAATCATGTCAGTCAATTCCCATAATAAATCCCCTTCCATCCATCCGCCCATCCAGCTACCTAGCTACTTAGCTACCTGTATCTCTACTTATCTACATGTCTACCCACATCTGTGTCTCTGCCTGCATCTCCATGTCTATCTAATCTATCTTTATAGGTCTGCCTGCCTGCCAGTCTATCTGTCTGCCTGTCTATCTGTCTGTCTGTGTCTGCCTATCTGTCTGCCTGCCTGCCAGTCTGTCTGTCTATCTGCCTATCTGTCTGCCTGCCTGTCTGTCTGTCTGTCTGCCTGCCTGTATGCCCATCTGTCTGCCTATCTGTCTGTACCTACCTATCTGTCTGCCTGCCTGCCAGTCTGTCTATCTGTCTGTCTGTGTCTGCCTGCCTGTCTGCCTGTCTGCCTGTGTCTGCCTGCCTGCCTGTCTGCCTGCCTGTCTGTCTGCCTGTCTGTCTGCCTGTCTGTCTGCCTGCCTGCCTGTCTGCCTGCCTGTCTATCTATCTGCCTGCCTATCTGTCTGTCTGTGTCTGCCTGCCTGTCTGCCTATCTGCCTGCCTCTCTGTCTGTCTATGTCTGCCTGTCTGCCTGCTTGTCTGTCTGTCTATCTGCCTGCCTGCCTGCCTGCCTGTCTGCCTGTCTGTCTATCTGTCTGCCTGCCTGCCTGCCTATCTATCTGCCTGCCTATCTGTCTGTCTGTGTCTGCCTATCTGCCTGCCTCTCTGTCTGTCTATGTCTGCCTGTCTGCCTGCTTGTCTGTCTGTCTATCTGCCTGCCTGCCTGCCTGTCTGCCTGCCTGTCTGTCTATCTGTCTGCCTGCCTGCCTGCCTGCCTGCCTGCCTGTCTGCCTGTCTGCCTGCCTGTCTGTCTATCTGTCTGCCTGCCTGCCTGCCTGCCTGCCTGCCTGCCTGCCTGTCTGCCTGCCTGCCTGCCTGCCTGCCTGCCTGTCTGCCTGTCTGCCTGTCTGTCTGCCTGCCTGTCTGCCTGCCTGCCTGTCTGCGTGCCTGTCTGTCTGCCTGCCTGCCTGTCTTCATCTCTATGGATCTGTACTTATTTATCTATATCATTCTGTGTATCTGTCTCTACATCTCTACATCGACATCATGGAGGACCGTGGCAGGCGCTTGCCGCTGTGCACTGCACCATCCCTCCCAGCGGGACCACAGCGCGGGTCCAGCCAGCTGCCCGCAGCTTACAGCTTGCCCTTCCCAAGGAAATGCCCTCAGCCAAAGGCAGTTTCTGACCCAGGGTTTCTCCCTGCCCTGGGAGCCACCCCTACCCCATGAATAGTCGAAGGGAGGAAGCAATGGGTCAGTCCTTTACCTCCATTCATGGCCTCTCTAAGGGCCCCTTCAGCACCAAAAGCACCGAGACCTCATCAAAAACCTTTGAGTGGAGCACAGCTCAGCTCCCCGACCTGCTCCCGCCCCCTCTCACAGCCTTTGTCCTCAAGAGCACTCACCCCTCTACCCTGGACCTGCATGTCTCTATCTGGGAGTGTCTCTTGGGGAACTCAACCTCAGACAGTTTCCAAACAACAAATTCCAAAGGTCGTGCCTGGGCAGAGAGCTCTGCTGACATGGAAGCCATGACCTCCTGGGACCTGAGGGCATTTCTTGTCCCCCTGGCCTGACACAGAGTGGTGTGCACCTGCACAGCCATGTGGTTGTGAAAACACAAAACAGTTTCCATGCGAGTTGAACAGCCCCTACCCCGAGCCTCCAGGTGTCCCCCAGAAGCCACCCCAATCCCTTCCCCCAGGATCCAAGCAGGGAATGACAAAGAGCTTCTGAGACGTCAGTCGATGCTGTGGCCATCCCTGTTCTGATGGGTCCGCACCATTCGGGGTTGCTCGTTGGGCCTGACTAAAGTCACCTGCACTCATCTGCTAGGACTCCCACGGCAAAGAGCCGCAGTCTGGCAGCCTTCACAGCAGACATTTCTCTTCCCAGCCCTGGGGCCCCAAGGCCAAGCTCAAGTTTGGGGCTGCGAGGGGGCCTCTGCCCAGTCCCTCCAGCCTCTGGGGCTCCCGGGCAGCCTCGGGTTTCTTGGCACTCCCATCTCCGCCTTCATCTTCACACGGGTCCTTCCAGTGTGTGAGTGGGCATCCAGATTCCCTGTTCCTAAGGTCACCGGTCAGAGCCAAGCAGGGCCCACCCTATGGCCATATCTCAGTTCCATCTGCAGGGACCCTATTTCCAAATAAGGTCCCATACGAGGTGCTGAAGGTCGGGACTGCCACACGCTTGTCCTCCTCTCCTGGAATCAGACCGGCAGGTGTGTCACATTCTGCCAGGCGGGGAGTGGGCACATGCCCTGCGGGCTTGATGTGTGCGGGGGCGGGGGCGTTCACAGCCTCCCATGACAGCCCTGGGTGGGGGCTCTGTCCACAGCCCCTTGTGGGGTGGGGCAAGGCCCTTCCTTCTGATCCACATGACTTTGGACCCTTGGGCCACTGCAGAGGGACTCAGGGTCTGACCAGCAGCCTTTGACGTGGCCAACAGTGAAAGTGATGGGGACCCACGAGCCTTCGGAGCTCTGTCTCCAGAGCCCGAGCAGGGAGTGTGGGACAAGAAGCACGTCAGGGCAGGCACCAGATTTAGGACCCCCTGGGAGAATATGCTCGCAGGTGAGTGGGGCAGAGGGCAGCTTCCTGGGCTTCCCTGGGGCCCAGCTCAGCCTGGCGGGCATCCCACCGTCTTCGATGTCGTTATGCTCCCTGCCCTGGGCCTACTTCTCTGTTGGGAGGCCTGCTTCTGTAAACCACCAGGCCCTCACAGAACCCCCACCACGGCCGAAGCACCTGCAGGAAAAGGCCTCACTCGTGGCAAGGTTCATGGTTGAGGCTCTCCGAGCAAAAGACATTAACAGAAGCAAAGCAGACACATTTATTCAATATAAGTTTCATGTAGAATAGGAGCCTTCAGAAGTGAGGCCCCAGCACTTTGGGAGGCTGAGGCGGGCAGATCATTTGAAATCAGGAGTTCAAGACAAGCCTGGCCAATATGGTAAAACCCCGTCTCTACTAAAAATACAAAAATTAGCTGGGCGAGGTGGCACATGCCTGTAGTCCTAGCTACTGGGGAGGCTGAGGCAGGAGACTGGCTTGAACCCAGGAGGCGGAGGTTGCAGTGAGCCGAGATCACGCCACTACATTCCAGCCTGGGTGACAGTGAGACTCCATCTCAAAAAAATAAAAAGAAAAACAGAAAAAAGAAATGAGGTCCCAAAGGAAGAGGGAAACCTGTGTATTTGTACGTGAAGTTTGGTGGAGAGTGGAGTCCTGCGGACAAAGTGGGTGTGTTAGTCTGTTCTTGCAGTAGTGTGAAGAATACTTGAGACCGGGTAATTTATAAAGAAAAGAGGTTTAATTGGCTTACGGTTCCCCAGGCTGTACAGAAAGCCTGGTGCTGGCACCTACTTGGCTTCTGGGGGTGGGCTCAGGAAACTTACAATCATGGCGGAAGGCGAAGGGGGAGCTGGCGCTTCACATGGCCGGGCAGGAGGAAGCCCAGAGGAAGGGAGGGGAGGTGTCACACGCTTTTAAACAAGCAGCTGTCATGAGAACTCACCAGACCAGCACCACGGGGGAAGTCCATCCCCATGATGCCATCGCCTCCCAGCAGGCCCCATGTGCAGCACTGGGGATTCCAATTCAGCGGGAGATTGGGGCAGGTACCCGGATGCAGACCCATCAGGGCGTCGCCTCGTGGTGATAAGCTGGGGATTCCAATTCAGTGTGAGATTGGGGCAGGTACCCGGATGCAGACCCATCAGGGCGTGGCCTCGTGGTGATAAGCTGGGGATTCCAATTCAGCGTGAGATTGGGGCAGGTACCCGGATGCAGACCCATCAGGGCGTGGCCTCGTGGTGATAAGCTGGGGATTCCAATTCAGCGTGAGATTGGGGCAGGTACCCGGATGCAGACCCATCAGGGCGTGGCCTCGTGGTGATAAGCTGGGGGACCTGGCGGGCCCTGTGGTCGGAGTTCGTCATGAGCTGTTATAACAGAAAACCACAGACTGGGTAATTTACTGGCTCCTGGTTCTAGATGCCGGGAGATCCAAGATTGAGGGGCCGCCTCTGGTGAGGCTGCCTCATTTCATGATGGAAGGGCAAAGACAGGCCGAGAGAGACAGCCAGAGAGGAGGGGACTAAACTCCTCCTGTCAGAGCCTGCTGGCACGACAATGATGTGAGCTCATCATGGGAACAGTGATGGAGGCACATTGAGACCGCAGCAGCCCCTCACCCCCCACATGCTGTGCACACTGAGGACCCAAGGTCACATATGAGTCTGGAGTTGCAGACGGATGGAGAAGACCATCAGCCCCACCAGCGCTCTGCCATCACCCGACACCCAGCACTGAAGGCTCATGGGACACAAGATGGGTCTCTCAGTGCTTGAGTGCTGGGCACACGCAGTCCTGGGCTCAGGGTCTGGAACCTGCTCCTGGGAAACCCTGCGGAGGGGCTCCAGGCTGAGATCAGCCACGTCCAGGGGAGGAGACAGTGTTCCCAGTCTCGCCTTACCCCTGGACTCCGACGGGGTTGAAAAACCAAGGAGGTGCCAGCAGCCGGGAAGGAGGAGTCTGACGGGCACTGTGGGGACATCCAGGCACCTCTCCCTCTCGGCGTGGCCCAGTCCTATAGCTGGTCAGTTATGCAATGCCACTGTCTTCCTACCCTGCAAGGCGCATGGCTGGACTCAGAGGCCAGGCCCAGGCTTCCTTCTTGGCTCAGGCAAGGAACACAACGGGCTTTGGGCTTTGCTTATCCATTTAACAAATGAACTCCTAGTCTGTGCTGGGCCCCCATTTAAATGGTCCCTGGGATACAGCAGGGTCCAGAATGGGCCCAGATCTTGCCCGCATGGCTGACCCTCTGGAAAGCATGAGGATGGAGGGGAAGGCTCCAGGCATGGAGGATGAGGCAGGCCAGAGGCTTCAGCCACTTTCCCACCACACACCCGCTCCACCCGAGCCCTTCTAGGTCAGCTGGGCTCCTGGCTCTGCCTACCTCGGGTGCAAGACGCCAAGTTCCTTCCTGGACAGTGAGAAAACCAGGCCAAAAAGAAATGAAAGGAAGGCAGACGGCGAGATGAGGGCAAGGGTGGGCACCCAGCCAGGGACCGTGGGGATGAGGAGGAATCACAGAGACCCACTGTCCCCAGACACTGCCAGTGAGGCTGGCCCAGGGCCAGGGGCTCTGCGTCCCTGGCATGCATGTGGCCCCCAGCGCCCCCACAGCCAAAGGGAGTGGGGCGGCCCCCTCGTCTGCCACGAGCCCCTCCCACCTCCCACTCACTGGTCTCATTTTTAAGTTTTCTTCTCAAAGTTATTCAGGATCGATTTGGAGAGCAGAGTGGTGACTGCGGCAACAAAGATGGCTCTTCGTTCTCCTTCACCTCAGAGCCAAACCATCAGCCTCCCCGGGCCTCTCTCCCCAGCCTGCTCCCCACATGGCTCCACCTCCCTCCTCTTCCATGGCTGTGCTCTTCGCAGCCGGGGCCCATGCCTGGCCATCCGCTCCTCCTCCCTGCTGCATCCAGCTACCCCCACTGCCCACCGGGCACTCCCAACCTGAAACAACCTTGCCCCCTGCAAAAGTCTCACCTTTGACCCACTTCCCACTCCCAGGATACCCAACCTGGCCTCCTGTCTGGATACCCCTGTGGGCTCCCCTCTGCTGATGGGGTCCCCTCTCTACCTGTGGCTCCCCTCCACTGATAGAGTTGCCTTTTCATCTGGGGCTCCCCTCCACTGACAGGATCCTTTTTCCACCTGGGGCTCCCCTCCACTGATGGGCCTCCTTTCCATCTGGGGCTCCCCTCTCTCTACCTGGGACTCCCATCCACTGATGGGGTCACCTCTCCAGGTGGGGCTCCCCTCCGCTGATGGGGTCCCCTCTCTAGGGGGGGCTTCCTTCTGCTTGATGAGGTCCCTTCTCCAGGAGGGCTCCCCTCCCTGGGCCAAGTCTGCAAGTTGGGGCCAGGTGGGGCTGGCCAGCGTCCGACAACCTCCCCTTTCTTTTCTTGGTCACTGCCCACTTGTTGAGGTCTCAGCCAGGCAGCCTCTCCAGTGGGAAATTCAGGGTCCCCTTCAGCAGCACAGCTTCCTCTCTGTGGCCCAGCTCGTAAACAAGGCAATGTCACTAACAGCTGGGATAGGCTTGTTCAGTGAACTGATGGCCCCAGAAACCTCTGGGGAGGCCCAGACTGTGAGGACCATGGGCAGGAAGAGCTCCTGAAGCTGGGGGAAGAGCCCTCTTGGGTCCCTCCACACAGGGGATGGTGACAACACAGGGTGGGGACAGAGCCGGGTCCAGGGCAAGGTGAATCTGGCCAGAGAAGGCCGGGCCTGGTGGGCACCAGCACAGAGGGAACGGAGCCAATGTGGAAAGCAGGCTGGGTCCTCTTCTGCACTCCCAGGCCCTCTAAGCCCCACGCAGGCTGTAGGAAGGGGATCAGTGGCCCCTGGGCTCCCCACGGCTATACTGTGCTTGGGGACATGAAGCACAGGTTGCTCAGCCACTCTGGTCATGGGCAACAGACACCCCACACCGGCCTCACTCCCCACAGGGAACAGGGTCCTAACTGCTTCCCCATCCCAATGTTGAACAAAAACTCATGGGTTTAGACAAGAGTGAAGGTGAGCCCAACCACCCATCCCACCCCCAGCAGGCAGACGCCCCCCAAAATTATTGATTTATTTATTAATAAATCAGTGTCAGGTGCCAGCCAACCCCACCTGTTCCCAACCTGCAGACATAGACAGGGTGGAGGGGTCAGTCGGTCCAGGAAGAGGAGCCCATCAGCAGAGGGGAAACCCCAGAGAGGGGGCCCCATCAGTGGAGGGGAGCCACAGCTGGAGACAGTAAATAGGCAGACTATTTACTGCCCCTCTGGGCCCACCAGTCCAGCCATCAGCCCTCTGGGCCCACCCAGGAGGCCCCACACCGGCCAGTAGGCCCATGTAGGCCATCTACCCTGGACAGGGCCTCCCCCTGCTCAGCTCAGCCTGGATTTCTGGATTCCGCTGACTGCCAGGGATCCTGAGAGGAGACGGTATCGGAGCCTCACCAGCCTTCTCATGTCCAGGAGTCCTTGTGAGGATAACAGTGTGTGTGCCAGGTTGTGCAGGTGCTAGCCGGGATCCTCTGAGGGGACAAGGTCTCCATGGTAGGGGACCGCTCTGATGTCCATCCTGGGCTTTGGTGGCCCTGCCTGGCCACAGTCTGCTGCTCTTGGTCAAGGCCATGGGCCTTCGGAGGCCAGCCAGGCCTCAGCCTGTGCCTATAGCATCCTGTCTACCCTCCCTCCTCCTGTCTCCGACCCAGAGAAAGAACAAAGGGGAGGCCCCCAGAGCCCTGCAGCTCCTGGAGAGACTCCCATCCCCACCCTGCACAGAGAGTTTAGCAGATCCTATGACTTGGGGTCTCCAAAGAGACCCCGGGGACAGCTCATCGAGCTCCCACTGGGCACTGCATGCTCAGGCTCCCAGCCCTGGCCCACCCCATGGGGTGTGCCCAGTCCTGCATCTCACCCCAAATCCGTGCATGAATGAACCTGAAAGCACCCACACCCTCTGGTGCTCAGTCCTCCCTTCCTCCCTGGGGTCCCCACCCCTCCCTGCCCCCCAAGCCTTGCATCCCCCTGCAAACCTCACAAGGGGGACTGTTTACTGTCCCGAAAGCAGGGAGGGCCCCTTGCTTGGGACCTCTTGGCCATCTCTGCCTCTAGTCCCAGCTGCCGTCAGCTCCGGCCTGGCCCCTGTAGGAAGCGATCATCCGTCTCCCTGCTTCCCGTCTGGCCCCTGGTCTGTTGTTGACCTTCAACCAAAGAGGTTTAAAGGAACAAATCGGGCCCTGCGTTCACTGCTCCCCAGGGCTCCATACCTGTGAGCACCCACACAGTAACACGTAGGATCCCAGCCCCATGTCACCCCAGAGTCCCCTCCAACACTCTCTGGCCTTGGGCCTTTGCTATTCCCTGGCGTGGAAGGGCCCCCTTATCCCCCAAGTGTCAGGCAAAGGCCTTGGGGCACTGTCCCTGCCCGGCATCTTGGCCCTGACTGCTAAGCCCCATATCATTGCTTTTCCCATTACCTCTTGCTTCCTCTGTAGCTCTGGTCACTACCCCAAATTCTTGAATTGACCGATGTGCCCACCTGTTTACTGGTTTCCCCCTCTAGACGGGAATCCGTACAAGGGCAGGGCCCCCTGGGCAGAACAGGGCCAGCCAGGAACCCCTGGAGAAGATAGCTACACATGTGTCCCAGGCCTCAGATGGCACTCAGCCCTGCCTGTCAACGCCGGACGTAGGACAGTTTTTGTCCCGACTTTCCACACGGGGAGGAAAGACTAGCTGTGCCAGCAGGCAGTGGCCGGGTCACGTACGTCAGTAACTCTGACCCCTGAGAAGCCGGGACACCAAACCATACCTCTGTAGCAATCATCCCAGAGGCTCAGGCCGTGGCTAACGGCTGCCGGGTTCCCTATTTTTGCCCCCAACTCAGGACCAACTGGAGGAAGCCAAGTATGTCCCTCGCCAAGCTGCAGGAGGCCCTGCTCTGGGTGGCCGCCTCAGCCTCCCCAGCCCACAGCCCGCAGCAGCACGCGTCGGAAGCCTTCTCCGTTGGCTGCTTTTGTTGGTATTTGGGGAGTTTTTTTACACCTTTATTGAGGTATAATTCACATAGCACAAAGCTTAGCAGTTTCAAGTCTAGCTGTAGACAGTGTGGTGGCACTTTGCTGTAGTCAGAATTCTGCAACCATCACCACTGCTTAATTTCAGAACAGTTTCACCATCCCCAGGACAGACCCCCACACGCACGCACCCGTCCTGTCCCCCAAAGGCCCAGGCAGCCACTAATCAATCTACTTTCCATCTCTGCTCATTTGCCCATTCTGAACACTTGGAATGAATGAATCACAACACGTGTGGTGTTTTCGGTTTGGCTTCTTTCCCTCAGCGTGGAATCCTCCAAGCTCATCCTTGCTGCAGCTTGGATTAACACTGTTCCTTTTAATGGATGAATAATATCCCACTGTGTGGATAGACCAGCATGTTTCCTATGCATTCGTTGATGAACATTTGAATTGTTCCCACTTTTTAGCTATTAAAACTAGTGCTGGCTGGGTGCGGTGGCTCATGCCTGTAATCCCAGCACTTTGGGAGGCTGAGGCAGGTGGATCACTTGAGGCCAAGAGTTTGAGACCAGCCTAGCCAACATGGTGAAACCCTGTCTCTACACAAAAATTAACCGGGTGTGGTGGTGTGTGCCTGTAATCTCAGCTACTCTGGAGGCTGAGGCACGAGAATCTCTTGAGCCCAGGGGGCAGAGGTTGTAGTGAGCCAGGATTGCAAGACTGCACTCCAGCCTGAGGGAATCTGTGAAGATCGCTCCCGCGTGAGGCCCCTGGGAAATGGGCCTCGCCATACGGTGAGCTTGAGCCCGGACACAGATCCCCGGTTGGGGGAGTCGAGCTGAGGGAAAGCAGGAACCGAGAAAGGAACCATATGCTATTCTAAATAATTAATAGACATTACTTTATGGATATGAGGACTTGGGAGGCATTGTGTCCACTTTCAGCTTCTTATGGTTTATTGCTTGACTGTGTTACCCTTGTTACCTTCATTGTAAAATATTAACTTAAGTATTTACACTTGGTAACTTACTTATCATAACTTACCGGGCATAACTGTAACTTACTTACCATGGCTTACAGGGCCTGACTGTAACTTACTTACCTTGACCTATTGGGCGTAACCTACTTACTGGAGGTAACCTACTTACTGGGCGTAGCCTACTTACTGTGCTTAACTTACTTATTGGGTGTAACTTGCTTACTGTAACTTAAGTACGTTAATCTAGTGTAAACAACTTTGACTTCAAAAAGGTATATAATGAAACACATTGCAAAAATAAAAATTGCTGCATGAGCATAGTGCATGTAGCCCTCCAGACCTCGCCTTTTCTGTCTCCTTTTTTTCCGGCATGCGCTCTCTTCCAGGTTTGGGACCCTCTCGCTGGACGAGATTCCCGGGCTCGCGTTCAGTTCTCAACACCAGCCTGGGTGTAGGAGTGAGGCTCTGTCTCAAAAAAAAAATACAAAACCAACCAACCAACAAACAAAAAACCCATGCCGCTATGAACGTGCATGAGCATATTGTTATACACATGTATGTTTTCACTTCTTTTGGAGATATTTCTCTTCATTTCTCTTGGAGTGGAACTGCTGGCTCTTATGGCAACTGTATGTTTAGCATTTTCAGAAACAGCCAGTCTGTTTTCCAAAGTGGCTGCACTATTTTGCATTCCCACCAGCAGTGAACGAGCGTTCCTGTTTCTCCACACCGCCACCGACACTTGCTAACGTCTGTCTCATTCATTTACAGCCACCTTAGCGGGTGCATCCTGGCATCTCACTGTGTTTGGATTTGCATTTCCCTGATGACTAATGATAGGAACAGCTTATCGTGGGCTATTGATCATGAGTACATCTTCTTTGGAGCAAGGTCTGTTCAAATCCTTGGTCCATTGTTAAAGGCAGGTGATTTGTCTTTTTGCTGAAAAGTTATAAGAGTTATTGGCCCAGGGCAGTGGCTCACACCTGTAATTCCAGCACTTTGGGAGGCCTAGGCGGGTGGATCATGAGGTCAGGCATTCGAGACCAGCCTGGCCAATATAGTGAAACCCCATCTCCACTAAAAATACAAAAAATTAGCAGGGCATGGTGGCAGATGCCTGTAATCCCAACTACTCGGGAGGCTGAGGCAGGAGTCAGATTGTCAGATAGATGATTCATAGATGTTTTCTCCCGTTTCATGGGTGGCCTTTCCACTTCCTTGATAGTGTATATTAAAAACCATTGTTTAACACAAGCTTGCCAAGATTTATTCCTATGTTCTTTCCTAAGGATTTTAATTTTTCTTTTCTTTTTTTTTTGAGACAAAGTCTCTCTCTGTCACCCAAGCTGGACCGCAGTGGCGCGAGCATGGCTCTGCCTCCTGGGTTCAAGCAATTCTTCTGTCTCAGCCTCCCGAGTACCTGGGATTACAGGCGTGCACCTCCACACCCAGCTAATGTTTGTGTTTTTAGTAGAGATGGGGTTTCACCAGGTTGGCCAGGCTGGTCTCAAACTCCTAATCTCAGGTGATTTGCTCACCTCAGCCTCCCAAAGTGCTGAGATTACAGGTGTGAGCCACCGTGCCCGGCCTTCCTAAGGATTTTATAATTTTAGTGCTTACATTTAGGTCCATGATCCATTTCGAGTTAATTTTGGTGCACAGCATGAGGTAGGGGTCCAAATTCCTTCTTTTGCACTTGGCTATCCAGTTGTCCCAGCACCATTTTCTGAAAAGACTACTCCTTCCCCCACTGAATTGTCTTGGCACCCTTGTCAGAAATCAACTGATGGCTGGTCTGAAGGAAGTGAGTGATCTCAATTGATTGTTCACAGTTACAGATGGAAGACCTCGTTCTACTCTTTCCCTGCTTCTCACCACTGCACTTGAATCACCTTTTTTTTTTTTTTTGAGACGGAGTTTCGCTCTTGTTACCCAGGCTGGAGTGCAATGGCGCCATCTCGGCTCACTGCAACCTCCACCTACTGGGTTCAGGCAATTCTCCTGCCTCGGCCTCCTGAGTAGTGAGTAGCCAGGATTACAGGCACGCACCACCATGCCCAGCTAATTTTTTGTATTTTTAGTAGAGACGGGGTTTCACCATGTTGACCAGGATGGTCTCGATCTCTTGATCTCGTGATCCACCCACCTTGGCCTCCCAAAGTGCTGGGATTACAGGCGTGAGCCACCGCACCCGGCCGAATCATCTTTTAAAAAAAAAAAAATCATTTGACCATAAATGCAAGGATTTGTGTCTGCACTCTCAATTTACTCCATTGATCTGTATGTCTCTCCTTATGCCAGCACCACACTGTCTTAATTACTGTAGCTTTGCAGTAAGTTTGAATCAGGAAATGTGAGCCCTCCAATTTTGCTCTTCTCTTTCTAGATTGTTTTGGCTATTCCGAATCCCTTGTATTTCCCGACAAATGTGAGGACCAGCTTGTAAAAAGCCAGGTGGGAGTTTGGTAGAGACTGCCTTGAAGCTGTAGCTGAATTTGCGGGTGTTCCCATCTTAACAATATTACATCTCCTGATCCATGACTTTGGGACAGCTTTCCATTTAATTGCATATTATTTGATTCCTTTCAAAAATATTCTGCATTTTTCAGTACACAAGTCTTATGCTTCTTTTGCTAAATTTACTTCTAGGAATGTTCTTTTTGCTGATAGTATAAACCAGATTCTCTTCTTCATTTTTGGAGTGTTCATTGCTATTGTATAGAAATGAAATTGATTTTTGTATATTGATCTTGTATCCTGCCACATTGCTATGCATGTTTATTAGTTTTAATAGATTTTTGGTGGATTTTCTATATATAATGTCATATAATCAGCAAACAGAGAGTTTTGTGTCTAGTGTCTTTGAGCTTCCACAACAGAGTACCATAAATCAAGTGGCTTATAAACAACATAATGTATTTCCCACAGTTCTGGAGCCTGGGAAGTGCAAGGTCAAGGCACCAGTAGATTTGGTGTCTGGCAGGGGCCTGTTTCTGGTTTCATAGATGGCTGTCTTTTCACTGTGTCCCCCAACGTGAAAGGAAGGGGCCCGGGGGTCTTCCAAGGCTTCTATTATACAGACACGAATCTAATTTATGAAGGCTCTCATATCCTAATCTCGCAAAAGTCTCATTTCCAAATTCCATCACCTGGGGAGTAAAGATTTCAACATTGGGAGGACATGGATATTCCGACATAGCATTTTACTTCTTCCTTTCCACTATGGGTGCCCTTGACATCTTTTTCTTACCTAACTGCCCTGCCAGAGCCTTCCAGACAGTGTCGAGTGGAAGTGGGGAGTGTTTGCCTCACCTTCCTCCTGATCGTAGGGGAAGAGCTATCTGGCTTTCACCACTGAGCACCCCCTTAGCTGGGGGATTTTCGTTGGTGGTCTTTAATGGGTGGAGGCAGCTCTATTCTAGCTCTAGTGAGTTCAGACTTTTTTTTTCACACACAAAAGAGTGTGAGCTTTTGTTCAGGAGCTTATCCTGCATCTTCTGAGATAATCATATGTTTCTGCCCCTTATTCTATGGATGTGGTATATGTATCATCCTGTGTCTGCTGAGATGACCGTATGTTTCTGCCCCTTATTCTATGGATGTGGTATATTTATCATCCTGTGTCTGCTGAGATGACCGCATGGTTTCTGCCCCTTATTCTATGGATGTGGTATATTGATCATCCTGCGTCTGCTGAGATGACCATATGTTTCTGCCCCTTATTCTATGGATGTGGTATATGTATCATCCTGTGTCTGCTGAGATGACCGCATGGTGTCTGCCCCTTATTCTATGGATGTGGTATATTTATCATCCTGTGTCTGCTGAGATGACCGTATGTTTCTGCCCCTTATTCTATGGATGTGGTATATTTATCATCCTGCGTCTGCTGAGATGACCATATGGTTTCTGCCCCTTATTCTATGGATGTGGTATATTTATCATCCTGTGTCTGCTGAGATGACCGTATGTTTCTGCCCCTTATTCTATGGATGTGGTATATTTATCATCCTGTGTCTGCTGAGATGACCGTATGGTGTCTGCCCCTTATTCTATGGATGTGGTATATTTATCATCCTGTGTCTGCTGAGATGACCACATGGTTTCTGCCCCTTATTCTATGGATGTGGTATATTTATCATCCTGTGTCTGCTGAGATGACCATATGGTTTCTGCCCCTTATTCTATGGATGTGGTATATTTATCATCCTGTGTCTGCTGAGATGACCGTATGTTTCTGCCCCTTATTCTATGGATGTGGTATATTGATCATCCTGTGTCTGCTGAGATGACCGTATGGTTTCTGCCCCTTATTCTATGGATGTGGTATATTGATCATCCTGTGTCTGCTGAGATGACCGTATGGTGTCTGCCCCTTATTCTATGGATGTGGTATATTGATCATCCTGCGTCTGCTGAGATGACCGTATGGTGTCTGCCCCTTATTCTATGGATGTGGTATATTTATCATCCTGTGTCTGCTGAGATGACCGCATGTTTCTGCCCCTTATTCTATGGATGTGGTATATTTATCATCCTGCGTCTGCTGAGATGACCGCATGGTTTCTGCCCCTTATTCTATGGATGTGGTATATTGATCATCCTGTGTCTGCTGAGATGACCGTATGTTTCTGCCCCTTATTCTATGGATGTGGTATATTTATCATCCTGTGTCTGCTGAGATGACCGTATGTTTCTGCCCCTTATTCTATGGATGTGGTATATTTATCATCCTGTGTCTGCTGAGATGACCGTATGTTTCTGCCCCTTATTCTATGGATGTGGTATATGTATCATCCTGTGTCTGCTGAGATGACCGTATGTTTCTGCCCCTTATTCTATGGATGTGGTATATGTATCATCCTGTGTCTGCTGAGATGACCGTATGTTTCTGCCCCTTATTCTATGGATGTGGTATATTTATCATCCTGCGTCTGCTGAGATGACCGTATGTTTCTGCCCCTTATTCTATGGATGTGGTATATTGATCATCCTGTGTCTGCTGAGATGACCGCATGGTGTCTGCCCCTTATTCTATGGATGTGGTATATTGATCATCCTGTGTCTGCTGAGATGACCATGTTTCTGCCCCTTATTCTATGGATGTGGTATATTTATCATCCTGTGTCTGCTGAGATGACCGTATGTTTCTGCCCCTTATTCTATGGATGTGGTATATGTATCATCCTGTGTCTGCTGAGATGACCATGTTTCTGCCCCTTATTCTATGGATGTGGTATATTGATCATCCTGTGTCTGCTGAGATGACCATGTTTCTGCCCCTTATTCTATGGATGTGGTATATTTATCATCCTGTGTCTGCTGAGATGACCGTATGTTTCTGCCCCTTATTCTATGGATGTGGTATATGTATCATCCTGTGTCTGCTGAGATGACCGTATGTTTCTGCCCCTTATTCTATGGATGTGGTATATTTATCATCCTGCGTCTGCTGAGATGACCGTATGTTTCTGCCCCTTATTCTATGGATGTGGTATATTGATCATCCTGTGTCTGCTGAGATGACCGCATGGTGTCTGCCCCTTATTCTATGGATGTGGTATATTGATCATCCTGTGTCTGCTGAGATGACCATGTTTCTGCCCCTTATTCTATGGATGTGGTATATTTATCATCCTGTGTCTGCTGAGATGACCGTATGTTTCTGCCCCTTATTCTATGGATGTGGTATATGTATCATCCTGTGTCTGCTGAGATGACCATGTTTCTGCCCCTTATTCTATGGATGTGGTATATTGATCATCCTGTGTCTGCTGAGATGACCGTATGTTTCTGCCCCTTATTCTATGGATGTGGTATATTTATCATCCTGTGTCTGCTGAGATGACCGCATGGTTTCTGCCCCTTATTCTATGGATGTGGTATATTTATCATCCTGCGTCTGCTGAGATGACCATGTTTCTGCCCCTTATTCTATGGATGTGGTATATTTATCATCCTGTGTCTGCTGAGATGACCGTATGGTTTCTGCCCCTTATTCTATGGATGTGGCATATTTATCGCTTTGGTTGCTTTTTTGGTTTTGAGAACATCCACACTCTCCTGCCACTCCTTTCAGTAGAAAGCTGTCCCACTCCGCAACCTGCCTGTGCGTGTCTGCCCGACGTGAGTGCCAGTGGCGGACTCCCTGCTACAGTGAGCTCTGCACAAGCAGCCTCTGCTCGTCCTCATTTAAGCGATCTTTATGTATTTTATGGGAAATCAAGGCACAGGGGTCTCATTAATGGCTCCGCCAAGGTATGCTCCATCGGGCTGTGAGTCACCTCACAGCAGGCAGAAAGGCCTCTCTGTCAAACATAGATTCAAGCAGTCAGGGACCTGGTGCTTCCCATAGGCCAGGCCCTGCCTCACGAGTGCAATGAGAATATATGCACATGTCACCTGTCCTTCTACATTTGGGGAAACTGAGGGACCAGCCCGCAGTCATAGGGAGGGGAAGACTCCTATGCAAACCCAGCCGGGCTGCAAACACCTGCCCTTCCTCACCATGCCACCAGCTGTGCCCACATGGCTCCAGCACCCTCACCTTCCCCAGGCATAAGCCTTCTCAGGCAGCCAGCCCAATCAAGGGATGCCCAGGGAGGGGGTGCTCCCATCCCAGCCCAGGCTGCTGGCCTAGCCCCTCCCATTTCTCCCCCTCATCCTCTGACACAGTCCACATGGATATTGTGGCTCCAACAGCAGGAGCCCTTTCAGACACACTCCTGGGTGCCTCCCGTCTGTCCCAATATCACACAGACACAAACCATGTCCTTGTCAGCCATGGAACCCTGAGGTCCCCCTGAGGTCACACCATTGGGCTGCTGGGAAGGGCACTTCAGAAGTAGAGCTTCCATGGGCCAAGCCCTGCAAACTGGACCTCCTCCTCCTCATTGTCAGTCCTCCCTGCAAGCCTTCCAGTGCCTGTGAATGTCAGTTCCACTCTGGAGCTGAAATGGCCTGCTGTCCTTGAAATCCAGAAGTCAGGCCCATGAATCCCTCCATCACCCCACTACAGTCCGAATGAAATGCAGCCACCCTCTGGCCTCCAGGTCCCAAAGCCGGCTCCCTGCCTCCTGGGCTCGCACCTGCCCCTGACCTGTGTCCAGCCCCTTTCTACCAGCTCTGTCTGCTTTTGGGACTCCGCTTCCCATGTGTTCCTCCAACCTCACCCGTCTGCCTGGAGTGCTCCACCCCAGCTCTGCCCGGCTGGCTTCTTTGTAGGCATCAGAGCCTGGATGCATTGTGCTCCTCCAAGCCTCTGCCCTGGAGGAATGCCCCAACCCCATGACCCTCTAGCAAGCATCCTAGGAATTCCCTCCCTCCCCAGCACTGATATGACCATCGCGCTGTGACACCTGTCATCTCTGCCAGAGCTGCAGATCCTCAAGGGGAGGGGTCTGCTGCCTGACTGCCATAGCCAGGGCCTGGAACAGTGCCTGGTACACAGCAGGCACCCACTAAATATTTGATGCATGGCTGAAGAGGACAGACAGGCTGGCTGCTGGCCGGGCATGGCCTGCTTCTGAGGCTGGTGGTCAAGGACAGACACAGTGTGTGTGGATCTGCCCTCTCCTCCAGCTTCCTGAGAGTGGGATCAGTGTCTCCCTCCACCCACCTCCCCCTGCTGAGGACACAGCCCATGCCTTTAACGGGAAGTGTCCCCCTCACTGGGGACAGCAGTGAGCTGACAGGAGAGCAGGTGTTCAGGACACCCAGAGAAATGTTTCCTCACACTGGAACTCTTCCTGTCGCCTTCGAAACAAAAAGAATCCTTGAAGACTCTCAAGGGATCATTTAAGAGTCTTTTCTTATAATGTCACTTCGACTGGCACAAAACGTAAAACTAGGCATAAACCAGTGCTTATGTTCTTATGCAGGCATGAAGCCAAAGTCAGTTTAAAAAGTAACCACCAAAAAAACTAGCAGAGCACAGCCGATTCCAATAGAACCGTTCTGCCCACTGTGAGCGCTACCGGCCACCCAGGGCCACGTGAATTTAAATTACAATGAAACACAATGAAAGATTCAGTTCCTCGTGGCCACATTTCCAGTACCCAGTAGCCACTCACGCCAGGGGTTATCCAGGTACAGAACATCCCCATGGTTGCAGAAGGTTCTATTCCACAGCGCTGGGTTGGACGACATTTGCTAGGACTGGCTGGCTAGAGGACCGGTTCTCCGAACCTTGTCCCACGTGGTTCCCAGGTAAGCTCCCCCCCATGACGCATCTGCGTTGTGGGAAACCGTCGGTGAGTCATCTGCTGCAAAAGCCTCCGCTCCTTCATCTGGGGAGAAGCACCCCTCACTCTGAATCATTAGCCCAAAGCAGTGAGTGCAGCGTGCCTGGCCCCACACCTTCCGGAAGGCTGGCATCCCTGGGGCGCGACACACCAGGGCATAGATGAAATAGATACAGTATTTGGAGGTTCTCCTGCAGGTGGCTCTGGCCTCCCAGACACTTCACACTGGTTGGGAGCCGCCCTCTCAGGCCCCAGTGACCTTTTCAGATGCAGACTCCCGCAGCATGG